TCCACCAACAAGTTGGATGTGAGTCAACTTTGGTTCGGGCATGTAGTTCTACAGTCTACGAGCGCAGTAATCGCTAATTGGTAAAATATGACGACATGCTGTTATAGAAAATGCTACTCTCGATGCAATTTCGCAGAGCTACGATGTGACCCTTATCGTTTTCACGGCCAATGTCCCTTCGAGATGTGACGAGACCAAACTGCCCGAGGCCATAAGTAGAGATGGCACGCGGCATGCGGACATGACATTGTTATAGGATGCGATCTGCACATCGGTGAAAAAATCTCCCATGACTTGCAGTAACCTAAGTGTCCATTAGGCGGGTCTGATATTATTATTAGTTCCTTAAGTGGACTCAAGGTTGGTTGCATAAGATCCAGCCCGCGGAACAGTTGACTATCGGTTCTGGACACGGCAAGCCAACGGCTTGTTATGGGACCCATTGAATGTTACTATAAACTGCAGGATGACAGAGTATCCCACACAGGCGGCTCCCCGGTTCCAGGGTTCGGCCACCTAGAGTCTTCTTCGAACATAGGTTTGATATATTGTGGCAAGAACCTACAGTCATTTTCCTAGTCGAACCAGACTCACTGTATGCGCTTGTCCGTGCCCGATAAAAAATATCAAGGGCTGATAACTGGCGTGCCGATGGTCCCATGTGGTCTGACAAGAATCAAAACCTGATAACAACAACATATCAGCAAGTCTTGCGGTAGTACTATGTACGCTTTTGCTCTATCCCGATAGCCCGATAGCCCGGTAGCCGATAACCTAGGAACGGTGGCTTATATGTATGGGGCTACAGATGGGGGCACGTCGTATTATCTCTTCTAACTGCCCTAACTACCTGACTGCCAGGGACTTCAGTTATGTAGAGATAACGTGTTTTAATAATCAATGACTAATGGACGGCAACCCACGCCGCTCGATACTGTCTACTGTCTCAGGACTCTCAGGCACAAATCACGGCGCGACGTCATGGGCTTGGCAGACCCTGTCGAGGATAAAAAGAGCGAAATCCTAGCTTGATATCTATGGTAGGGTACTCTATCCATTTACCTATTAGTCACCTATTGGACGGTAAGATGGGCTTCATTTGTTGAAGGAATTGCAGGGGACTGACCTTTTCCTTTTTTCAGCCATCTCCGAGGTAATCTAATCGGGATGGCAGCAGACCAGTACTTAGTACTCAGCCCTTGAAAATGATCGGCATATGTATCTTAGAAAGGCATCCCACCCACCCTTGCTCTATGAACAGGCTGGGTAGCTCCCTGCAACATATAAGCACGGTGCGCTGTGTTGCTCGTGGGAAAGTCTGGGGAAGACAAGGGTAGGCTCATTGTTGCGGAGGGTTTATTCAGTCAGTGACAGTCCAGGATAGTTGACCGTACATAGCTAAGCCTTAGGTGCGAGAGGTGAGGTGACAGGTGTTTATTAATGTTCCCGATAGAGTTATCCCTAATATCCCGCTAAGAAGCTTCGTGCTTCGATATAATGCGTATACCTATATGAGGTGACCATCATGTGATAATTCCATTAGTATAGTAGTTGCTATTCGAGCTATATTGGATTGTAGTTTATAGAAGCTTGTATCACAGCTGAAGAAGGTAACCTTGATGTTCCATACGTGAATCTTGCGTAACTACTAACGAGATGCGTGAAGTCATAGGTCGGGATAATGGCCAAGCTTTAAATCGACCTTAGAGCACTGGTGTCAACCTTTTTACATATAAGTATGATGGCAGGTTTCAACTGTGAGGTTTGGGGTACTCACAGGTGAGTGTCGTCGTCTTTAGCTTCAACACCAAGTACCTGTATATAAGCAGAGTCGTAAACCTTTAAATTGATACAACTTAAAATATCGAAATGGTCCACAAATGGCAACTTTCGTATCGTCTACCTAACCCTATAATTCCGTCCGCCTAACTTCCCGCACTTTTCATCTTCGATGTTCCAGATGTAAAGCGGTTTCGATAGTGCCGATACCAGTAGAGTCGTAGCAGATCGATCACCGGAACTCACTCAAAACGGCTGCAAAAAAAAACCTAGATCAAGGTGCTATACGGTAGAACGGCCTTTATTAGTGCCTTAGTGGGCCAGAATGCTCCATCGTCTTGAAGGGTCTCTCGTCTAAGACTCTAAGACGCTGATCTGACCCCAATGTGGGTTTTTGGAGAAAATTTGGGGTTATGGGGAGAACACCTTTACATCTTTCCCCAGATGCCGAAGCACCGGGAGACGACCTCTCCGGGTATGCGCAAGGTGGACGCGTGCCGATTGGAAGCCCTGCTACGGCAATAGAGAGTGTCTAATATCAACAATATACAATATACTGGCTCCGAAACAGTCACAACTATGGTCTTAGGACCCTCCTATCTCCTCGGCTGCACTCGAAATTGCTAATATAGAAACGCTGGCTGTTTGCGGATTGTCGCCCAATAAGATTGCGGTAACAGCGACACAACCGGCGCGGCCGACTCATCATTAAGGCTTGTCGGATGCATAAACGCGTCGCCTGACAAAGTTCATGAAAGCATCTAGGTTAGGTACTATCTGGGTAGGTGGGTGCCTGTTTACAGATACAAGAGTTAATACAAGAGTTCCGGATATGGCGAATAACCAATACCAAGTGTTCCAGATTAATATTGAGTTCTTGCGGTGTGAGATGACGTTAAGGTGAAGGGTAAGGTGAAGGCCAATTCTAAAGTTTGATTCGTCAGATAACTACTAGAAGAATTGGCCCCTGTTGTACATGGCACATGGCATGACGCGGTCGCGATCCTTACGAGGACTAGGAGTCTCAAATCCGGACAAGGCGGTACCACTAGAGTAGGTTAGGTGGTGTATGTATTCGAATTGCTCTGCGCGGATTTGAAAGTTGAATAAGCGATACTGGATGATACTGAATGATACTGAATAGGTAATTTGGACCTTAGCGACTCAAGCCTGTGATATCGTTTAATGTTGAATACGACCGCAGCCGGGGACCCAATTCCGAACGAGGTGACTTTAACTAAATTTATTTAAAACACTACTACCGTGTCGGCTTGCCTTTTAGCCTTGAGCTGAATCCTAGGTCCATTATCAAGTAGGTGGACAGGGCAGGGATGCGACTCTCATGATGATGATAGACGGTGTTTGTGTTAGATTGAAGAATTGATACGAAGGAGTAGTTATTGAAGGTTTAAAGTCCTAACTTTTCGGTTTTGCATAGGTAGTTATCAAGAAAACACATTTCTTGCTTCTTATCATCTTCAAGCTGACGTTTCGGCGCATACCTAGAACTGCCATAGGCGCGTTCGTACTATCAATGTAACTTGTCTCCCCCCTGCTTTGTCTGGGTCTTGGCCAGGGCGTCGTAACCAACGGGCGAACATTACACCAATACAATGAGTGTAGTATGCAGGATTGCTTTAAGCCGTCAATACCCCAAACGTTTTTTTGAGGATCTGCCGCTGCCCTTAAGTGGCTCGGCTAGCCGAACCCGAACAGCCCGAGAATGAGATGCTTTGCTTTCTTGCCGGGCACAATGGCCACAATGGCGGCTTGCGTAAGAATGCTAAATGCCTAGCAACATCCAAGTTCCAAGTTCTACCTACACAACATGTATAAGGAGAATAATACATGGTTGTGCTTTCAGATTAGCACTAAAAAAGGGACAAGATGATACTATCGAAAAAATGGCTAGGCACTCATCTGCAATGTATGTATGTAGGTATTTACTTACATACATGTAAGGCGGCCATGGATTTCTTGGCCTGCTAAGCTAACCAATCCTACGCCTCTCATTTATTTCAGTTACATATTTGACCATCGTCACGGATGGCGAATTCGTCGTTGTGCATCCCGAAGTTAGACTAACCTAGATGGAAGGTAACCTTGATCATTGGCTTGGACCACTAAGGAAGGTTCCCATCAACTGACCTGTGAAAGGATTACATAGCTGTTAGGATACTCGACCAAATAGATTTTCGATAGTATAACCATTTTGTCATGCCACGTTTTCTCGACTGCTAGAAGAAAGCCTAAAGGTCTAGATTTATTCTAAGCTGCTCGCTAACGGGTTAGCCGAGTTGCACAGAGAGTAACTATCTACATATGAAGCTCATAAGTTCATCGTAAGTCTTTGCACTATGGGTCAAATACTAACTGATATTTTGGTCTCTATCAATATATTCTAGCTACCGTCAAGTTGTAGAGAAAACCCCTTATCGCAAGAATACATTCGTTACTTATCAGTAATAGGTATATGTACGACGTATCGTGCCAGAATTCAAGATGCCTGCACGTAATACTCATCATACGTTCGATATTCAGGGACGATATTGCAAATGCATGACTTTAAGTAGGTGTATGTATGTACATATTGACCTCACAGATTTGTATCTCTCAGATGTATTAGATGTACCTATTAGATGTATTATGGTAAATGTTTTTGCTCTGGTGGCTGCAAGCTGCGATCTTCGGCGGCTACAGCGCGCTGTTACGACCCGAATATTAGTGGGGCCGGATATAGACTGTGTACTCGAGTACTTAACTTAGAGCTTACCTACATGCAATATAATTAACCCAGATAGGTACAGATTTGCAGTAGCCTACATCTCTTAGCTCGGCCTGCCATTTTTAGTCCATCGCATAAAAGGGGACCCCTAGTTTGAGAAGCAAACTTCGCCGCTAGGAAGATGGTAACTAAGACTATGAAATAAGTTACTTATGAGAGCTGTTTAATTTATGTATACCTAGGTAGTCATATTTTCTATTTAGTAAGGATTGAAGCTTAACATTCACATGCAGATAATTTGCTGCTTCTTAAAATCCAAGACAAGACTGCTAAGGTTTCCGGTCTGACTACGGCGTATGGTATGTAGATAGGTACTAGATTGCCGTTGCTAACACGACGTTTTATATATCCGGGGGGCACCATTGGCTTGTGCAGAATCCCTGCGGCGAACGGATCAGATATAATAACGACGTGTACTACGTAATTATGTGATATGGTTGTAGTTTCCCATGGTGTGAAGCTTCTATGCAGCATTAATGATGGGACATCTGCGAGAATAGCGCTTGGCTGGGTACATGCAAGCATCTTAAAGCATAGATAGTCATACCGAAAAAATGAATTCTATAAGCCAATCAAACCTCATCCGCGAAATCAGGTAGCATTCCCATGCTTCATGTAAGACGGCCGGGATCGCAAAAGTTCGATCGACTCATCCGCAGTTGTCGCTGGTGATAGCGTATACATATACGTACATATATACATACATGTACATACAGTATGCGTTCTAGAATGCATAAGCACCAGTGGATAGACGAGCATGGTGCAGATATAGATAGCACCGGACTGGTTGGGAGGCAAGAGACGATGATGTGCCTGCAGGCCGCTAACAAACCGAAGAGAACCATCAGACATCAGATCTGCCTTATTTAGGGTTGTCGAAGCCACGAAGACCCATCATAAACATGTACTTATCCCTCGGCCCCTTTCCAGCCCCTCCAAGGGTCCTATGTAAAAGGCTTGCTGGAGCCTTGAGGAGGCTTGACTTCAAACAAGAGAAGATTCAGACGGGCTACCAGTCCTACAAGGCTCCATTTCGCCGAGTTCGCTCCGCGGCCAGTCTGCGGAATAGGTAGCCTTCTGAAGATCAGCCCACTGGCGGACCAAAAAAAAAAAGGCTGGCAGCAACAAGAATGAAGAAGGACAATTAAATATCTGTAGCTTGCTTAAGTATTGCGATAACATATTAAAAGGCTACAATAAGGCGAAGAGCAAGTCATGTAATAATCCGAAACGGCTGCCATCTAAAGATGTTCGATATGTAACTATGCTAGACGAGCAAACAAATGGTGCGAAAACCAGAGCCGAACATTGGTAAAACGGAAAAGGCTTTGAATGCAACCCGACTTCTGCGAAGCAAATTGAAAAGCAAGCAAGATCAATTGTCTGGTTTTTTGTCGGCTTTAAGGATACCTCGAATCTATGTATAGTATACATCATTTAGATTTGCATCTTGTGACCAGAACCCACTCCCCGTTGTAGGCTTGGCTCCGGCGGTTCTACTAGCACGGACCAATTAGATCTGGCATAGACTAACGAACCCCTGTTAGAAAACCCCTTGTCAGTTGGTAAGATGCCCTGAAACTAACGGCTTGCCCTTGCGCAAGATCAGCCCACGCAGAATCGCCTAAACGAAGTATAGGTACTCAGCCTAGCGGTACTACCTGCAATTTTATCCATATCAAGTGACCTGTTAAGTTGATTTCACATCACAACCTGCTAGGTATTGTACCTACCTAACCTAAGGTAATCCACTAGGTATCCATTATCCACCACCAACGTTGAACCTTACCTGCCTTGAATCTCGGATGTCATGAGCCATGAAATCACACTGTGGCAATAACAGTCCGGTGTTTTGCCTTCAGTAACTGAACCCGACCGCAACACCCGGCTCGGTTTTGTTTAAGGTCCCCAGCCTATGTATAATCTACCTTTTGTTTCCATCTTGCAACTTCAATTCGTTAGAATTACTTCCATTTATGTTTTCCGCTCTTTATTTACCTTTTACCTTTTACCTGCTGACCTTGACATTGTCCAATTGGAAATCTATTTCTTTGATTCCTTGAATATAGCAGACATCATACATACATACATTAGGTACCTAGCCTACATATCCACATATCATATAACTATATTATACCATACGTACCACATATAGAGAAGTCCAAGGGTTAACCTGCACAGTACGGCTGTGGGACTGTAAAGATAGATACGTTACGGGGTATTATGCAACAATCGATAGGAAGGCCCAAGCTCTTTAGGTAGCTTCCTCGAAGCTCTGTCTAGGATTTTCTGGGATTTCTGCCCCTCCATACCTTCCCATAATACATACCTACCTGAGGTACCCGACTAACCTGCTTGCCTACCCACTACTGTACGCCTAACCTCCCCAGTATTAGCCAATCCACCGGTCTAATTCCTTTCCAGGCGCCTCTTTCCCACTCCAAACCCTCCCCACCACACAACCACACTCAATCAACGCTCAATCGCTCGTTCGACTTTCCTCCCACTTACACTCAACCCTCAATTCCCGCCCGCCGTCGGTTCTACCTAAAGGAACATATCTGCTTGCTTTCAATTCCACAGAGCCTCCAAGAGTTCACGGTAGTCGACGGTTGGAATTTCCCTCCACCTCTTCCGCTTTCCATTCAGTCATGTCCAACACGTCGCCGCCCGCTGCAGTCTCAGGGAACAATGCTGGCAACGATGACTCCGGTATGGCCCTCTTTCTCACACCCCAAAAAGGAGCTCTCTCAGTTGCCCCTCCATACCCCCCTAATCCCCATCTTCTTATCTAGCTTCCGTGGCCACCAGCAACGCCGCTGTCGATTTATTATACTAAACCACCTATGCTCTTAATCTTAAAGCCGCCGATGTGACTAAACTGATCTATTTGACTAACTTTGACTCTATGTAAAGCTTCATCAATTACGGTGAATACCACCGCCGCCGCCACCACCACCAGTGCTCCCGCGCCATTTCCTCCCCCTAAAACCGACAAGCCTCGGCCTCACGTCTGTGCTACTTGTCAGCGCTCATTTGCCCGATTGGAACATCTGAAACGTCATGAACGTTCCCACACCAAGGAGAAACCGTTCGAGTGCCCGGAATGCACAAGATGCTTTGCTCGGCGAGATTTGCTCCTGCGACACCAGCAGAAGCTTCACCAGACTACAACGCCCTCGTCGCGACCAAGAAACCGCCGTGAAAGTACTAGCAGTACTGCTACCGCTCAGAGCCGAGCTCGAAAGAACAGCGTCGCTAGTGCAAATACCTCTGCTGCTACCAATAATGCCTCTATGAGACCTCGCGCGAATACCATCAGCCATGTGGATGGGAACCATATGCATATGATCGCGGCCGCGAATGCCCAGGTCGCGAGGACTCAGCAACATCACATGCCCCCAACTCACAGCCGGCATCAGAGCCTCGTGGGATTGCCGCTGCATAACGTGGATCATGGCTTTGCTGGCATGTCCTCAGTTATGGGCCATAGAGGCATGAACCATGGACTCCCAAAGCTGGAAACGCACAGCATCAACATAGACTTCAACGCCGGTCTGCGTACTGCACCTCCCTTGCCATTTCAGCCGGAATATGATTTTGAAGGCTTGCTATTCGGGCAGCCTGGCTCGACTATTAATCCGAACGCTCTTCACTACAACGAATCTCCTCACTCCATGTCCCTAGATCCCACGTCCCCTTTCAGTAGTGCGATGGATATATCTACTCCTAGTCAGCACATCGACGATAGTTTTGACTGGTTGACGGGGTTTGAGCATCAGATGTCGTTTAACAACCCGGCCGAGAATGCTGTTGACGGTTCATCTCCCTCCGCAATGAGTACCACCAGTCAGAGTGGTATTAGCGACGTGATGCTCGATGGCTCTAACCCGACAAATGTGACATCGGCATCCAACTCTATGTGGCAACCAGCGCTTATGGGACCTCCCCAGGTAACGACACCGTTCTCAATGGAAATGAGCGGTACGGTATTCCCGGATCTACTGAACGGAGCGCCAGTCTCTCCCCAGCCATCAGCTCAAAAAAGCATGAATGACATCTACTTCTCAACTCCGCCCCCATCTATGAGTTCTCTTAGTCCTTCAGTGATGCCGGGCTTAACGACACATAACATGAACCAGTCCATCAGCTTTAGCACCGGTCCGGAAACGCCCACCTCGATCAGCGGTACCCACCAGTCGCATTCCCCTGTTTCAACCATCACGGATACCACGCGAAATGCGATCGTCAGCGCACTGTCTCTGTGCGGTCCGTTTAATGGTCGTAAATACTCCTTCACGTCACCCAACTCACCGATGTCCCCACAGTTCCCTACTACTCCAGACAACGCAGCCGAAAGTGTAAAAGCTTTACCAAGTACCCAAGACTTACAGCGATACGTTACTAGTTATTTCCGTTATTTCCATCCCCACCTCCCATTCCTGCATATCCCCACACTTTCATTTGATACTCCCAGCTCGGGCAACGGAAGATCGAGTATTGTTGGTGGCAGTGGATGCCTCGTTCTATCAATGGCTGCTATCGGTGCTCTATATGAAATGGAGCGTCCTCAGTCAAAGGAGTTGTTTGAGATGGCAAAGAAGATGATTCAATTATACTTGGAAGAGCGAAGGAAGGCTGATATGCGGAAGGCTGATTTCCGGCGAACCCCATCGTCTGACCAGGGATCCCAAGGACCGGAGTCGTCTATTCATACACCACTATGGCTAGTGCAAGCGATGCTTCTCAACGTTGTATACGGACATAATTGCGGCGACAAAACAGCAAATGACATCGCTTCGACCCATTCTACAGCCTTAGTGAGCCTTGCCCAAGCTGCCGGTTTACTTCGACCACTGAAGCTGGATTCGATTGAAATTCGGGAAATTCAAATGAATGATGCCGAGGGTAACTGGAATGGAGGTATGAAGGCCGAAACCGAGGAACAGGCCGAATGGTTGAGGTGGAAAACTATGGAGGAGCGGAAGCGCACCCTCTATGTCATTTTCATCCTTTCTAGTCTTCTGGTGACTGCCTATAACCATACCCCGGCGCTGACAAACTCGGAAATAACACTGGACCTTCCTTGTGATGAAGAGTTCTTCGCAGCCGAGAGCGCCGCTGCTTTCCAGTTGAAGGGTGGTGTGCGAGTTGCCGGACACAATAGAACGACTTTCCACGAAGCTTTGAGTGAGTTGCTTCGTACTAACGAAAAGCAGCAAAAGCTAGCATTCGGTAACGGGCAACACTTAAGTTCGGCAGTTCAGGTCAACGATATACCACCAAGTGAGCTTAAACCCAGTACTCTTGGCTGCTTGGTGTTGATTAATGCGCTCCATAACTACATTTGGGAAACCCGCCAGCGCCACCACAACAAGATGTGGACCAATGAAGAAACCGAGAAAATGCATCGTCACATTGAACCAGCGTTGAAGGCATGGCAGTCAGCCTGGGCGAGTAACCCACATCACAGCCTTGAACGCCCGAATCCCTTTGGGATGGGACCTCTTTCCGCCGATTCTATTCCCCTACTTGATCTAGCTTATATACGATTATTTGTAAACATGTCTCGAACTAAAGAGAAGTTCTGGCAAAGGGATTGGGATGGTCTGGCGGATGAGCTCTCTCGCGGTACCGAAGTTATCCAACATGCAGAACATTCTCCATCATCAAATGCAGAATCCGGGACAGACCCATCCGACGCTTCTGCCACGAGTTCCATTTTCATTGATTCACCCCCAACGCAGTCATCGTCTCCTGAGTTTTCTGCTATGAAGTTTCCTTCGCCCCTAATACCGCAACTGCCCCAAGGTCACGGATCTAACAGCCGGGTGATAACTCGCCGAGAAAAGCATCTTCGCAAGGCAGCTTTCTATGCTGCCGACTCTCTATCTATGTCTGACAAGCTAGGAGTCAACTATGCCGACTTTACTAGCCGCGAACTTCCAGTGCAGTCAGCGATGTGCTCCTTCGACTGTGCACAAGTTCTTGCTGAGTGGGTTGCTACGCTCCAGGATCGCGTCGGGAGGTATCTCGGTGTACTTGGGAAGGATGAAGTCGACATGGGAGGCGTCCCGTCCATCATGCTTCTTGAGGACGAAGACGTCAAGCTTATCCACAAAATCCAGGAGCTTCTCTCCAGTGCTGAAATGAGGATGAATATGGATATTGTGAGCGGCGCTGTCAACGGCAGCATTGATTCTCGTCTCCAGATGGACAGTTATGGCGGGTACGCGGCAAAGATTCTCAGAGTCACGGCATATATGCTTGATAAGTCCGCTATATGGCCTGGTAAGCAATCACTTTCCAGTGGGCTGACTTGAAGGTTTAATTGACTAACTCATTTTCAGTACTTCATCTAATGGCGAATTGTCTCGAAAGTCATGCTAACTTCATGGCGTCGCGTGCCGACAAATCGGTTATTGCCAGTGAGTAAGGATCGGCCCTGGATTTAATATAGGCCACCAGCGTCATCCCTCCAAATCGGATATTTCAGACCTCAACCATCCAAGGACGTCTATCCCCGAAAACAATCGATCCGGATGATATTCCTGTCTAATTCGCACCATTGTGTGGTAAAGACGAGTGGACAATCCAAGCTCCTAATAGGTGGCTTTTGTTGCGAACTCCTGTATGTCCCCAGGGGTTCAGATTATCCGGTTTGGCATTTTAGCGGCAGATATGCAACGAATAAGCCCTATGAGGATTCCTCGCGAATCCGGTTTACCTAACGAGAGCTGTGCAGAGGGATCGATACCATACATGAAAAAAAGAAAATATACAGCGACGAAAAGTAGAATCCAATGATGGAAATAGCAATGAGGCGTATGGTTGTTTTTCTGCGAGGCCTCATTTAGGGTTGAAAATTTGTTACGGTAACGGTACTCTATCCTTCGAAGTATTAATAGATTCGGAGGAATCGTGGTATTATGGCATGGGGCACGACCAATACGCTTGAGATGATATTATACCCCATCGCTGGTTCAGGGCTACGTTAGGGACAGGTCACCGAAGCAGACGCGCTTGATGAGGTACGGGCATGAAAAGCAAATATAGATGGATCACTTTAGACCGTAGCCCCTAAGGGCGTTTGTAGTTGGGCCACGCTCGGTCGGCCATCAAAAGCGTTAAGAGCTTACGCAAAGCTTACAGATTCTCCCCGAATCCATTCCAAACATAGAAGAGATTCAGAGTACAATTACTCGTTAGGCGATGATGGCTGTAAATTCTCAAGCGGATGGGATGTTCATGAAAACAGACATGTGTATATGGATTACGTGGGCTCCGCCCAATTGGTGCAGCTTAAAAACCATTGGTGTATTGTTAGCGGCGGTGTTGAGGGATTATGGAGTTGTGGGAGTAGTAAATTACCTAAGTACCTAACTTATGTTCTTATGCTAAAATTTGCACACATCGTGGGTTATATCGCTTGGGTTATTATAAAATGCGAGGTGGCATTTGCCAATCTCTGACTTTATCTCCAATTTTGAGAATAAAGGGCCATTACCTACATGCATGCCGCACATTGAGATCCTTTTGCTCTGTCAAAAATGTATATAGATGAAGTAAAAAACATACAAAACAATTGGCGTTACTCATACCAAGGGTGGGGAGGCCTTGTGATTTATTCAAAGTAATTTCTAATAGCTCTTCGCATTGTTGCATTCCCCAGTAGCAAATCAATAATATAATGTGCTTTTGTTGCTTATCTGGTGCATCTACCATTTACATAGCCGTTGCAAGACGTTCGATGTCTTTTTCCACTAGGCAATTCCGTACTCTTCGCCATCGAGACTGTTTCGCAACTCGTCAAATGCTTTCTCAAGTTTTGCCAATTTATTATTGCCCTGTTTTTCCTGTTACTTAGCAATTAATTTTTAATTGTTTAGGATTCCTTTAAGGGTGGCGTTGGTTGATTATTTTGCAGCGTCGATTTCGTCTTCAATCTCTTCGGCGTTGCTTTCATCGCTAGCTATCACTGTTTTAAATGATGATGGGTTTGGCCTTGTAGTAATTATATTCGGCGCCCGGGGGTGTCTCTTCGTGGTCGTGCTCGTTGTCCTCATCTGCCTCTTCAAAAGTATATAAGAATGGATAAAGCCTATTCGGGTTTATCATATGTGTCATGTATGTATGAATTGTTGTTGTTGTTGTTGTATTGTGTATGTTCTAGTGTAGGTACAGGATGAATTTATACCTTACATGTAATGTGGCACGTGACAAACTGCCCTGATTTTAAAAGAATGCTTGCTTTTGCTTGGAGTTATCAAGGGTTTGGAATGCATCCTTTAGTTGGCCAGAATTTCCTTCAAAGTAGTGTCGATAGATTATTTGGTGGTGTTTATTTCATGCTCGATTTCTTCGACATAAGCACCTTTTTGAACATCCCTTTCTTCCCCCTCCATCATCATATCCCGTATACTTGTCGATTTATCAAAAGTTTGTTGGCATGTCTACAGACTCGAGCTTTTTCTTTGTTCTTGTTCGAAGTGGCTGGATCAACGATTGGAATTTCGCCTTTGGAAGGAGAGGCTAATAGGGGCGTATATTCGATCGAAGATTTGGGTGTTGTTTAAGACGTTCAAGACAATTTTGTTGTTTGAATTGATGTATTTTCTTCACTTTTGGGCTGAGTAATATCACCCACGCCACCCCAGTCAGAAGCATGTCCTGCCATGCTGGGTAATGAATAAAGACGTTATAGACCTTATGCTTGTACATGTTGAGATTGTGTAGCTTTTTTGGCCTAATCTTCGACGTGGAATATATCTTGATAAGTAACAAAGTAGTATTATGGTATGTTAGGTATAGGGTGGTTAAAGGATAGGTCCCTATGCTATTGGTTAGAGAAGATGCAGAAAATATTTCAGGGATACAAACATTTAGGCAACCAGAAGCGCACCTGGTTCTTAATCTTCGCTTTTTTCACCCTTCAGCCTTGAGCCTCCTTGGTTGCTTTGGTTTTCTGGATTAACTTGATCATTGTGTGTTTCAAAGTGGTTTCAATCCCTTCGTCCTTGTCAACCAGGCTAGTTGTCCAACTGCAATAGTTCCAATAACAACGCCATATTGTGTAGTGGAATTTGATTATCTCTGTCTTCCCTTGTCGTGGCTCTCAACCCACTCCTCGAAATTGTCGTTGAGGTACGTTCTGGCTTTGATGTCCAATTCGGCAATCAACCTTATTGTGTTTAAACAGCGGTAAAGACTCAACATGCCAGCAGCGCCTCGGTTGCCATTGCGTATAATGTTTTTAGTTTGATGATATTGTAAATTTGTAGGGTTGAAAAGTGGTTTTGTTAAGAGGTAGTTAGGACATAATTGTGTAGTTATGTTAAGTTAAGTTTAGGATGATTTCGCTGCTTGTTGGAATTAATGAAGGCAATAAACAACCCGGGCGGTGAAGTACACGAAAAGAAAAAAAAAGATTTTACGGCAGGAAGGTGCGTCAAACGCTTTGACCCTATGTACCTTGGGTGCCGAGTGATCTCTCATCACCTGGATACCTACGTAGATGCCTGATGCAAGTGGTAAAACCTCAGAAATAATTTTTCTTCGGGTAAGTGCGCAACGAGACGTTAGGTACACCGCGTTGAGGTACACTACAACTTCCGTAGGTGCCTACTTGGGTATGTCTACTAACAACCTTACTGTCACTACCTAGGTACATTAAAATCTTTATTAACAATCTATGTGGCGCCCCTGTGCTAGATATTGCCTTTTTGTCATATTACCATGACAACAATAACCAGCAGCATTCTAACCCTTTATTGTTACCGGAAATGAACGATCTGAGCCTATAGATTAGATTTCCCCTTTCTGCTGTTTTATTCTATATTATAGTTTATTATTTGTGTATTTGTTTGTATTTGTAGTGTAAATATTAAGCATGTTGAGATAGGGGTAAGGATTACAGAGTGACAGGAATACCCTTATCAAATCTAAATATTTAAAAGCCTCCGAGAACACTTAGATTGGTAAAGGATAGCAATAAAACTAATTTATACAAGCAATGATTGGCGACATCGTATATGGGAAACAACGGGTAGGTTAGTGATGTATCATACCAGAAGCAATCCGTGATATGCCACGTAGGAAACAGACGCCCATATGTCAGCAATCAAGGACAAAAGCGGAATGGAATAGGGGTTTACTTTGACACTTTCACCCAATCAATCTTCTCCCAATCTACAGGATACATAAAATCTTGTCTGTTGTCAGCATTACATACGGACAGGGTGCTTATTTCCAGATTACACCCATCTGGCGAATAAGATAGTAGAAACTGCTGATTTTTATGATAAGCAGTGCAACAAATTGAGTATCACTCGAATATCCAGTGGACACTGCCATGTTTTTATAACCATATGATATCATATATAGGTAGCTTTCCTGGCCCGGGGCGTCGAAAACCACGACATGAAAACCCCCATTGATATATTGGGACCGTAATGCTTTACTAACAGTTCACATACCAACGCACATCAGCAAGCGGAACGAGATAATGGAGGCCATACCAGTCAATACTCAGATCACAGTCGTGTTTATCGCCTTTACTACACTCCTTTTCCTTAAACTATACACAATCGGTAGTCGGGGTAAAGAGCTCCCGCCTGGTCCCAAGACAATCCCTATTCTTGGAAATGCACTGGGCTTCCCTACTTACTTTCCTCATATCAAGTAAGCTGCCTCGATAATTCTGTGTTTCTCATGCTTAAAGTTTCAGATTTTCGGAATGGGCTCGTCAGTATGGAGAAATTTACTCGCTTAAAGTCTTGAACGGAACGATAATCGTTCTTTCTTCTGCGACGGCCATCAAAAGTGTTCTTGACATCAATGGGCTGAATACAGGCAATCGCCCCGAGTCTACTATAATACGGCGGGTAACCAATGGCAATGTCCAAGCATTGGAGGATATGGATAGGCCAGCTTGGAGGCGTAGCCGAAAGGCTATGCATACTTTTATCACAGAGTATATTCTAGGGTCACACACTCAGGCTCAAGATGACGAGTACTCGCAGCTTATGAACGATATTCTTGAAGATCCGAAGAACACTTTTGAGCATATCAGTCGAATGGCTGTAGGTGTACTTATCATAACCCTTTATGGATCCAGGGTCCCGAAATATTGGGGCTCAGAAGCAGAAACATATTTTCGCGGGGTCAAACTGATGAACAAAGTCACTGACCCCGGGGCTCACCCGCCAGTCGACATCCTCTGGCCGCTGAAATATGTCCCGAAACGTTGGGCGTACTGGAAACGACTCGCCGACATGACGCGAGAGACCTGTGCCCAAGTCTTTGGTCCGCTTTACAAGCAATGTGAACGCGCGATAGAGTTAAATAAGAAAACTGGATGCTTTATCGAGTATTTGATTATGAATCAGCAACAGCTAGGCATGTCGCACCCAGAGATCACCGGGTTAGCTGAGGGCTTGATGGATGCCGGCGCAGAGGCTACCGCTTCATTTCTTCAAAGCATCATATTGGTTCTAATTAACTACCCCCATGTCCAAGAGAAAGGTCAAATAGAGATTGACAGCATCGTTGGTGGCGATAGATGGCCGACTTTGGGCGACTACGACAGATGTCCATATATTCGCGCAATTGTTGAAGAGATATTCCGATTCAGGCCAGTTTTCCCCGTAGGTATTCCTCATAGAAGCGCGAAGGAAACTTATTATAGGGGATGCCGTATTCCGGAGGACTCAATTATCTTTATGAATATATATGGGCTTTTCCATGACCCAGACTTATACGATGATCCGGAGACATTTGATCCCGAGCGATTCCTGAAGTCCCCTTTTGGGACGAAAGAAGGAGCAGACACAAGGGCATATAGGAGTAATCTTGCGTTTGGAGCTGGGCGGCGGATTTGCGCCGGAGAGGAACTGGCTCGTCGATTGATCGCGCAGAATGTGATGAACCTGCTTTGGGCGTTCAGCTTTAAAAAGGACGGTTCCGGAACAGGGGGTATGGATATAGATTCTTATTCTAGGGTGAGCTGTTTTTTCTGATTTTATAACTTATGCTGACGATTATCTAGCCGGGTATCGAGCTTGCACCGAAGCATTTTACGTGTGATATTACACCACGATCTAGTGTTAAAGCATGTGCGATTAAGAACCGGTTTGAACAAGCATTCCCCATTCACGCCGACAGGTCTACAAGGGGGGGTACATAGTAACTCCCCAGTCAGTTGATGACGGCATGGAGGATGGTATAGATCATATCTAGCCGAAAATATTAGTCGGGGGCATATTATTTACAGACTACTAGCTCAATAGGGGTAACACTGATGTGGAACTAAAGTCGTGATAGGTCATTTGTGTCACTAGTGGCAGTCCCATCTATGATTTACAACAGTGATTTATAGAACTATGTATTTTGGTAGTAGAGATAGATACCTATCTGATATACGGACTCTATCATTTCTTCATTGTCTATTCTCCGCGTTCCCTTGGACACTAGTGTATATGAATTTGTGGAGCGGCCTGTACGCCGGAGATATCACTCACAATGAATAGTAAGCATTATACGCCGAGGTAGCTCAAGAATAGGGAACAATAACTTTACAAATGATCTTGAGCGAAGTTTGTGAAGTGATATGAAATTTTCTTGAATACCTGAAATTCAGGGGTAATGCTGTCTTACTTTCTCGTTTCCGATAATCAACGTTAACGTTGGCGAACATCAATTATCGACCACTCAGATAGTACGGAAGCTAGGTATATATTTTATGATGGAGTCATTGGTGTGTTCGGATCATACAAAAGGTGGTGAGGAGGGTGAAAGGGGAAAAAAAAAGAAATGTAAAAAGAAGGAGGAACATACAACACCGGGGATTCGCTGGTCGTCACCGACCCAACTACTGATCCGGCGGTATCCGGTTTATCAAGGGGAGAGCGGACGGGATCCCGAGTTTTCCAGATCCTATGGTCGTATGTGCTGATTTGTTGCTTTATTCCTGTATATATTTCAACTGTTGATCAACTGACTCGAGATGGTAAAGCTAACCCCCATCAAAAATGTTATATACGCTAGCACACGGATGTCCCCCTTTGAGAGGAACCGTACACTGCTGCCTACGCTAAATATATGGTACGTGGACATAATTATGCAAATGATCTTTTAATTTCCTGTACAGCGAATACTATGATACCATATGTAGACCTTAGATATAGTCTTGGTATGCGTAGAACGCCCGTCTGAGACCCAACTACCTTGTTCTTCCTCGTAACACCGAGCTATGATCTGGAGACGAAGCTCGCTAAGATCTAACCAGGAGGCAGATGGCGAAACACATACGTAGACTTGCAGAAAGTTGGCATAGTTGTAGTAGGGAGGCGGGACGGCGATGTTGGTGCGGGCGGGTCTCTCCTAGGAGGCGGCAATTCGTTCTTTTCGGGACGAATGGGATTCGGCTGTGATTCTGTCAAGAACTTCGAGGTTGTATTAGCCATTAGCACTGTCGTCAACGCCAACAGCACAGCAAATTCGGATCTATGGCGAGCCCTCAAGGGAGGTGGTAGCAACCACGGCATTGTCACGCGATTCGACATGGAAACCCTCCCGACGCGAGATTTGTATTATGAGATGTGCGCTCTAAGCCTGAATTATACAGGATATGTGATTGACGTGGTAGTTGGATATGCCAACTAAGACCAGTCTTTTGCTGACAACGCCCTTGTGATTCTTTGGAACCGCAACGCGTCAAGCAGTCCCAAGACGGTTATCGAGATAATTTACGTTAGTATGCAGGGAAATAGTAACACTACATCCGCATTTGACAAAGTTAGACGTCTTCCGGCTTTGTTTAAGTCTACGGCTCTCAAAAGCATGGCAGTGACTGCTGATCGTTCCCAGATTCCTGGTGATTCTAAGTAAGTTCACCATTTTAGGCTCATTTGTAACGGGTTACCTATGAATTGACTGACTAATCGAATCTAGAAATTCTGCAACAACATTGACTTTCCGCGACGATCCATAGATACTTCGTCGCTGCGTTGAACTCCACGAGGATTTAGTTAAGAGGCTTAGCACACTGGTCGGCCCCAAGAAGCTCACGTCATTGTTAGTTTTGCAGCCCATTCATTCTTATACGGGAACCATTGCCGAGCAGCAAGGCGGTAACATGCTTGGGCTAGAAAATATTGGGGACAACTCTATTTTGTTCAACCCTGGTGTTGCTATTACATCTGATGATAGAGACTTTGCGATAGCGAAGGCAGAGCTAGCCGTGCTAACGGCCCAAGTTAAAGAATTTTCTAAGTCGGTGAATGGAGTGGTATGATACAGTGTTAGAAATATAAGGTGCATTGGAGCGGTGATAGGGGCGGATATGTTGAGCTCTCTAAGGTCTTCTTCGATTTATTTAGTTATAATATAATTATCTTTGATTAATGTTGTACTGTCTCCTTCACATGTCTAGGTCTGAGTCCTGAGTCGTCACCAGTTTGCTCAGCCTCGCATTATCTTAGAGCAGAGGCAGAGACCTGCGGTAAGAATCTTAAATTCATAGTATCTTTTTTCCTTTTTATTTATTTATTTATTGTTCATAATTGATAATTGATAGATACTAATATTACGTAATATTCAGTATGATAACTGCAAAGCCCGAAAGGTATGCCCAACATCAATAACCTCCTTATCTACCTAAGTTATACCAGGTACCTACCTATCTAAGATATAAGTCAAAGCACCCTTACAGGGGCCACCCTAATGGAGGCCACCTCAAATTTTTAAACCTTCAAAACAAACACCTTAACTTTAATTTAACGTTATTTAATTAAATTAAATTTAATTAAATTAAATTTAATTAATTTATAATTTATTATATTTTAATAATAATATAATCTTCTACTATTAATTTAATTAATAAAATTTTATCTTCTAAATTAATATTAAAATTGCTAATTATAATTGTATTATTTAATTCCTAAACCTTTAACTACTCCTTCTTTTTCATAATAATTTTAATATTTATAAATATTAAATTTAGATTAAATAATACCTTACGCCGTTTTTATAATTTTATATTTATTAATACCTTTTTTAAATATTTAATATAAACCTTTATTATAACTAATTTTATAATAATTTTATTAAAAACTTTACTAATTTTATTAAATAAAAACCTTACTACAAATTTAATAAATATTATATTAATTTTAAATAATTTTTTAATTAAAATATTAATATTTCATAAACTTAAAAACGTTATTAAAAGGATTGGAACTATATTTTTAATAAAATTAAACTTTTTTAAATTAGAAATAAAACCCAAAAAAACTAAAATAATATCGAAAACTTCTTAAAACATAAACCAATAATTTAATAACTTATTTTAATCCTTAAAATAAATCCCTATAACCTTCCAATTAATTAATATATTATATTTAATTAAACATTCTTTTTATACTATTTAATAAACTATAATAAATTCCTTTTTACCAAAATTAAAAATATAATATAATTAATATACCTTAATAAATTTACAATAATAACCTTATTTTATTAATAAAAATATACTTACATTAATAACCTATAAAACATACAATAAATATACTAAAATAAAAATAATATAAACCTTATTTATAAAACATTCCTAAAAAAATTCTATCGTAATATAATTATTATAACTATTAAAAATTAATAATCGTTATTATTAATAATTTAATAATTTTGTTTTTTTTAAAAAAACCTTACAAAACCATTTAAATATAATATTATTATTAATCCAACCATTAAAAAACGTAATAAACTTTTAATCTTTAAATTTAATATCCTTATTGTTAAAAAACTATTATTATTATACGTATTTACCTATATATATAATAAAAAAATTTAAAGATTAACCGTTACCATTAATACACTTAATAATTAACGTTTAAATTTTATTATTACAATCTTTAACCATAATACGCTTCTTATAAACTTTGTTAATAATTATCTTATTATCCCTAACCTTTTTTATAATCCCCATTTTATTAACGCTATACATATACCTAACCGGGATATTTTTAATTTTAAAAGTTTTAAATTAATCGAAAAAAATATTAATATTATTAATTATAACCCTATTAATTTATTTATAATTAATTAAATAAACCTTAACCAATTTAATATTAAAATAATAAAATAAAAATTATATATATTAATATTTACTAAAAATATTAAACTAATAATTATAAACTAATAATCTTCTTACAATATCTTTAAATTAATATAAAAAAAATATATAACCAATATAGCTTAACATAATAACCCAATTAATTAATTCCTTTTCTTAATATTTTAATAACTTTTAACGTTCCTCTAAATAATTGTTTTGTATTCTACAACCTAATATTTAATTTATAAAATAATATTATAATATAAAGTATTTTTTAAACGTTTACCGTAAGAATATACCGTTAAAAACATTGTTTATTGTTGTAATATAACGTAATTAAATTAAAAAAATAAATATTTTAAAATTATAAAAAAATAAAGATTTAAATAATAAATTTTATTTTTTAATTAATTAAAAATTAATAAAATTATATAATAATTTATATATAGACTTTATCGCAAACGCGTTGCGTTTTTAAGGTGGCCCCCACTAAGGTGGCCCCCGTAAGGGTGCTTTGACTTATAGGTAACATAATATGAACTATTTTAATATACGAAATGCAATAGAAGGCCGCCATGTGCGAGCTATATAACCCTCAACGTTATTTGCCGTACAACTCGTCGGGAAACTGAGAAACGGCAGCGCGTTCTCCTATCATCAACACATGATGAGGCCGTACAAGATATCAGTCGTCAGCTTAGCGATGTCAAATAAATGCTCCAGACGCTCCTGTCGAATAGATGCTCCAGGCCTGATTCAACCGCGACATCATCAGAGAGTACACACCATACTCCACCACCAATGATTGGTGAACAAGTACCTAGTATCAAGTTCAAATGAGGCCTTATTGCATCTCAAAGAGGACCAAGAACAAACTCCTAATCCCGGTTTGCCATTCAACGGCCCAACCGATGAATCCGATATACATAGTCGCACGCTTCCAAATAACTTTGAATACGGGTTTCCGATGGCGCAGCAAGATTGGGACGGTGTTATGACTGCGTTTGAGTCAGAATTAGGAGGCTACTACACTAGAGCCCTGACGAACATTACGGAACCTTACATCGCAAACACAAGTCAGTAATACAAGCGCTTTGTGGGGTGCCGTAAGCTTTTGAAGCTTAAGTGAAAGATAAAACCGATAATCTAAAAGTCTGCGCCGAGTCTGAGCAATTATTATAGGGCTAGAATTGTTGCCAAGTAATATTTCTTGAAGCTTGGGTAGACGCCCGGATACGGAGTTTTGGTCAACCTGCCGTAGGGCTTTTCATCCGGCTTTTTTGTCTGGTATGCCTTAATAATATATATCAATCCTAAGTGTCACGTCGTGTAACATAGCCAATCAAATAGGGGTATATCTTCAAGTATTAATGAATCCCTTTGAATGTTTTCTATACCCCCTATACAAGCGTCTTGAAGTCTTTTAGTAGTGCTGACAACAATGGATCTCACATCAAGTGCTCAGTCGCGAGCCTCGGGCTTCAAAGCGAGTCTCGCAAGTCCTGAATGCATTTATGATGAGTATATTAGACACCGAGTTCGTCTAATCCAAAAAACAATAATACTGATCTATACTAAATGCCAGTTTTCAGGATAATAGCCAGTTACATCCCTTATCCAGCCTATTAGATTAGTAACCGCAATTACAATCATGTCTGCACCACCAGTCCTCCTTTTCCTAGGCGCCGGAAAGAAACTCGGCACTCAGGTCCCTGCTATATTCGCCGAGGCAGGATACAAGATTGCCGTAGTAGCGCGAACGCCGAAGGAGGAGTTTGAGAAGCGCGGATATTACCAGGTCCAGGCTGACTTCAATAACCCCGAGAGTATCCCAGAGGTCTTTGCCAAGGTCCGAGAGAACGTCGGAATCCCGACAGTTGTTGTTTATAATGGTATTTGATTCCTTACTATATCGAAAATCTAGTCTAATAAACGTATCATTGCAGCTGTGCAATATACACTCGATGATCCAGAGGACCCTTTCGCCTCCCTTGCGCCAGAGAATGTCTCGCGGTTTCATTCCGCTGTCGCTGTAAACGGCACCACTCCGCTTATTGCAATTGAGCACGCAATTCAGGCCTTCAGATCCCTTCCCACTGGCACACCCGGGAAGTCCTTCATTTTTACTGGGAATATACTTAACCACAGTCAGTTTAAGAATCGCCTGTGCTTTGGAGTTGGAAAGACCGTGTCCGCCTACGGAGTTAGATATGCGTCAGTGGCTTATGCAAAGGAAGGTTTCAAGTGAGTTTTCTCAGCTTTCATACGATTAACCTATCGCCATTGTAAACTTTACAGTTCGACACAAGTTTAGCTTTGGGCCATATTATTAAAATCCAGTCTCTCTTTCAAATTTCGATCTATGTATTAACGAAAGTTCACAGGTTCTACTATGCTGATGAACGCTCGGAGGAGGGGCTTCCTGTAATGCGAGAGATTGATGGGCTCGTAGCTGGGAAAGAATATCTCAAAATCGCCGAGGCGCCGGAACAACTTCCCTGGCTGTATACATACACTATAGGAAGTGGATATAAGGACTTTGGAGAGAAGGACTACCTGAAGACTGTTGATAGCAACGAATCTCGGTTTTTAAAGGGGGGGCGATAAGTATCTAAAAGCTTAGGTAGTTACCTATAAAAAGCCTTCATAATACGTATTGAAGGTATAGACTTGAGAGTTCAGCTACTAACCGTGCTAATGAACATATTAGGGGTAACTCATGACAAGAGAATTTTTTTATATTTTAACTTTAAAACCTACTCATCTGCGCGTCGTAAGCTGCCTTAAACTGTTGATTCTAGACAAATAGTACGTACGATTGATGTCAATGCGCGTCGTAATTTTCGCTATAAATAGAAGGGTATGCAGCGTATAGCTCCCATCCTAGATTTTACTCTTACTTCTTTATTTAAGAATCTATAAGTCGAAACACCCTTACTGGGGCCACCCTAGTGGGGGCCACCCATTTCCCATACAAAATCAACGATTTCGCATATTTATATTTAATTCAAGA